GGGGGGGGCAAATGCCCCCTTTGTCGCCTTAATGACTTAGCTTGTATAGTATAAAATAGCCACGTCAAACGTGCCCGGTTATGAAAGGGTTAGTATGATATTTGGATTATTACTTGGTCGGACGGGATTAGATTCCGTTGTATAAAAGTTAAGTACATTACACATATACCAAACTCAAAAATTAAAAAGGCACGTGTTGCTGTGCCCATCTGTGGAAAAATGTGACGATACATTTGCTCCCATCTGTCCCCATCTAGCAAAAGAGCCAGTCAGGAAATATTTTGATGCGTCACGCTAGTATAATCGTTTGATGCGTTTAATCGGACGCGCTGCTGTCTGTCGCGCACTCAGTGCTGCTGATCATTGGAGACAAACTCTTGTGTTGGAATGACAGAAAGTTCAACATTTTCATTTGCACTTCACAACTGGTTTTGCTCAAAAATTCAATGTATTTAAATGCACAAGCTAATGTACCTGTAGCGCAGATACTGTATGTTTTCTTGTCAATCAGCCCCGGTGAAGCTGCGCCTGTAAACGACTAGAACGTGGATGCCACACTTGTAGTTATCCGTTTGGACTCCGAGGTTACTTCCGTAACTTTGAACGCAACACCCCTCGAACAGTTGAACTCGAAGCAAATTTTTGATCTTTTCAGCAGCCGCACGAGCTCCAATCTTGCATAATGATTCTGTTGGATCGTAGAAGTAGATGATGCGCTTTTCGAGATTGATCGTAATAGCACACCAGTGGTTCTGGTTACAGTAAACTGGTATTAACACTTGTTCCGTGAATGCACCAATAAAACAGAGCCGACAAAGCGTCATCATCGGTAGAAATTTCTCCGTTAACAGGCTCGTCGCTCCTGCATGCTCTTGTCTCTTTAGACGGTGAATGGGGTTGTGAACGTCGCGAATGGTCATGCTGCAGTCCGAGTTTGCAAGGAGAAACTGCAGAATACTCTTCTTCTTAGCCCCCGCCTTGCGCAAAACATCAACCGCCTCCACCATGGAAGGCGCAAGCGCTGTTCAAACTGACAAATAGAGCTCGTAGTTGGAAAGGGTCAGCGGGTGGTTATGCTGCAGCTTCGCTGTAGCGACGCACAACGCGAACACAGGGTCGTGTGTGCTACCGTTGACAACGCGGACACAAGCGTTAATCTGAAGGAAGAACACATATTTTGTCATTAACAAAGCTCATCCGAGCCATTAACAAAGCCCATCCGAGCCCATCCAGCATCAGGTGTCCCCATCTGAGCCCAACTCGCCAATGTTTTGCCCATCTGTGCCCAAACGAAGAGAATACATACCTGTGCACAACACTCAGTCGATCGGACTTCCTGACGCGGTCGCTTGCCTTTGCCGTGCGTCTTGCACTTGCCAGCGTGAGTGCATACAAGGGTCTTGTTGTACCAGATCCACCCCTCTGTGATCAGAGGAGCTGTGGCATTCTGCTTCTTAATCTTGCGGTTGCGCTCCTGGACCTTGTTGTTGGTACGGAAGCGAAATATCTGACAGTTGCAGTTTGTTAGTAGACCACAACAACCTCGCACAAGCGCATAGCGTTGCGAACCTGGTACGTCTGCGCCATGTACTTATTAAAGTAGGCATGAAATGACTTCCACGAGTCAAACTGCGTCTGACCTAGTCCTTGTATGAGCATTCGAGCGACGCCCTGCTTGACAAAAGCAGCAAAACTTTCAACGTTGCCGTCAGTGTTCACACTGGGGCCTCTTCAACTTCCAAACCGAGAACGTGTCGTGGTATACCTGGTTCCAGACCCGAACTTCGAGTCGTATCACTGCCAACGCCGTCACGTGGAGCTTCGAGGGACTTTAACTATTCAATGAACACGCGCGTGATCTTGAAAGACTCGATTCGAAAGCTGACAGCGAATCGGAATGGTTAGTGCGGTTAACCGCTAGCTTAGTGTGCCCTGGGGGAGCCAAGGCCTCTGTGGCGGAGCCTCCTCGCCTTGAGCGCTCTGTGTCTCGAACTGGCTGGATGATTCCGACGATCGTACGCATGAGTCCCCGGAATCTAGTGTCCATTTGACGTCGCTGGCTTTGTCATCATCACTCGGAGCAGCGTGCTGCCGGCGCTTCTGTGCGGAACGCGGTCGACGTTCCATTCTCGTAGCTTCGCAAATTTCTCGAATGAGGAGCCAGGAGCCAGGAGCCACTCGTACCGGTATACCCGTATACCCCCTCCCCCCTTTGGATAGAGTAGATGCACAGCGATGGGCAAGGCAAACAAGGATTAGGGCATAACAAAGAAAAGACCCGCTCAGGTGTCGCTCAGATGGGCACAGAAGCCCCTCTCAATTAAAAAAAAGGTTAAAATGTTTTTGTTTGTTTGTTTTTAAGCTTATAAGGGAATGCATACATTTACTGTCGAATAGTAGTCGCATCAATGTATAGAGGGTACCACTGTACGGTCATATTTCTATGAGTTTACTCTCCAGAAAACACAAATAATGCCTCTGCCTTGCCAAAGTTAAAGCATATACGCTATATTCTTAGCCCAACATTAATCTTTGAGTTACAAATATGGTAATATCAAAAATGGTGTAAAATGTGCATTTATTCGATAATAAAACAAAAAAACACAAATACCTTTCTGTCGTCCCCACATCCCACCCGGTTGCCTCTTAGAAAACGAGGAATTAAGGACAACGAACAACACTTCTCCAGCCCCATTTTAATACTAAACTGCGAGCCTGATAAACCAGCAAAACGCAACAAGTATTTTTGGTGGTTAGGGGTATGGGTAGGGTGGGAGAAGTAGGATGGCGTGGCCTTAGGCAAGGTGGGTTATATCCACGTCAAGGTTGCAGTTGTGATAACCGAAGCATGACTATCTTCTTTTCCTTTCGATGGTCTGCCTGTAGCGGACTACATGCTTCATTGTGGAAGCACTGCATGTATTATAGTGGACCTTTGCCCTTCCCATTTGGGATAGACTTGATGTAAAATGTGTAGCCGTATTCTGTGACTGCGATCGCACCTCCTATTACGGTTTTGAAGCCTCGCGTTAACTTGGTATGCGAGAGATTACGCGGTCTCCGTACAACAGAGGCTTCGCGAGCACGACCTAGTCGAAAACAAGGCCAGCCTTCCAAATAGTACGGACAAGGTCCAGGATTTCACATTTCACGCGAGACGATGTAAATCGGTTTAGTTCCCCTCGTGTAAGTATTGTCGAAAAGTATTGCGTGAATGTTTACACAAGTGCAATGCGCTGTCCACTTTGCAAGCTGATGGATCAATCTACAGCATAACCGGATTGATAGTCGTGGTAATCATCAGTAGCATCAACTTTGATTTACTGTCGTGACGGTCCGTGATACTTTGATTAGTCTCTCGAGCATTCTCACCATAACTAGTGCCGCACTACGCATCCTGCCGTACTCTCGTCATCGGCCACACGGATGCAAGCAACCTTTGCTAGTCTCCAAGCGCTTTGCTCAGCTCCGGGACAGAATTTCACTCACATAAGATTAATTGATAAAAAGTTGTCAATCGGTAAGCCAAAAGACTAAGACTTCAAGTGCGAAAGAATACCTATCACAATGTATTAATTGCTGTTATACTGAAATTTTTCACAAGGCAATCTCGAACGTGAAGGAGGCTTGAACAGCCTGCTCATCTCCTCCGCAAGATGGCGTTGTACTTGCATCTTGATCAGATACCATATCTCTCAGAGTCGCCAAGTAAGCTGCTTGTGAAGTGATGGTCTCAACTAGTTGTTTTTGCTCTTCTTCCGCTCGAAATCGCTCTGCACGTTTCTGCTTGGCAAAATCTCTCAAAAGCCAGTTGATATGGCCATCTTTGCCACCAAGTGAATAATTGCTAGCTTCGTATGCCTCTTTCACTTGCAACAGTCGGGCCGTGAGTCTCTTCTCCATTCGTCTCAAAGTCTCTCGTTCTTGTCTGAGCCGTCGTTGGTATCGCTGCTTTCGAAGTGCCTCCTTCTTCTGACTCATTTTCCGGTTACGACCGACTGCGTCATCCCTTGTGCTGACGTCGATCTCGGCACTATTACCACCCACGGAAAACCAAGATTCAGAAAGACCTGTATCGGAGGCATCACCATCCCGCGGTGTTCGTGCCAAGACCAGATTAGTCTCGCTCAAGAAGGTGGACACTTCCTCTAGTAGCTTGGCGTCGGAGATTATCTCGCCTGAGATCATACTTCGGGCTGGCGAGCTTTTTGCAGAATGGACCGCTCACGCTGTATTAGTGGCGTGTGTTGTCCAAATTATTGACAGGTGTACGGAGCTTCACGTGTTTTTGAAATCGTGTTGGACACACATATCTACTTCAATTGGTTATCGGTAGAGTGCGCCTGTATCAAACGGCTGTACACTTACCAGGATTTGCATAAGTGATTTACAGCAGCTCGAATCCTTGCACCTGGGGCATCATTACCATAACTTGCGTATTGCGCGTCTAGAACGAGAGTGCAATAATGTGGATCAGACAGAAGCAATACCAAGAGTTTTGTTGATAGAGTCAAAACTGCATTTAGTAGCTCTGCGTGAAGCCTTTGATACGATCTCTAGTGCAGCGATCTGCGTATTCTGCATCCAAGTCACGCATGGCGAGAAAGATAGACAAACGAGGTAATTTAGTAGTTGGCACTTACGCCTTGCAGGTACTCCAGTATTCTTCGTTTTTATGTCCTCAATCATTGTGTACTTCGAGATAGTCAGTATATACGTACCATTACGTCAAGGAAAGAGATAGTTCCACCGACCATTGTCCCGGTAACGAGGGACTTTGGTCGTCTTGTGCCCGTAATACACGGGCGTGATTATTGCGCGGTTTAGTCACGCTGGTGTTCACGATTAGTCTCCGGGATGTGATGTACGTCTCTACGTGTGTTGGGATCTACAGTCCCTAACTTAAGAATACAAAACATCCTTACCACCTTGATTAATGGAATTTTTTAAGTAAGGAAAGCGTTACCTTGAATCTCAGCCCTATTGTGATATGCTGTCCGCTGGCACTTACCTTAACTGCAGTTGTAGCTGCTGATAAACGCTTTGGTGTGGTGCGTGTGTGTGTGGGAGGGGGGGGGTATATATGTTAAGGCTGCAGTTGTGAGAATAGAAAGCAAGACTGTCTTGTTTTCCTTTCATAGCTCTACCAGAAGCTGACGATATTTGTGATTGTGGAAGTATCGTTGGGCGCCATTATAATAACTTGAGTATTACGTTTTTAAGCGTATAGGACAGTGACACAGCTCAGCAAAGCAACAAGGAGGTTCCAATCCGTTAAGCCTTAATAAAGCGACGTCGCACGGTATGTGGGAGCATAGCGTAGAGTGCTTCCTTTTGATCAGCTCGAATATCTGGCTACGATTTGCTTCCGAGTGACGCATGGTGAGCATGTTCTTGCTGCCAATCAGTCCATTTTCAGTGTTCTAGCCTGTTGAACTAGAACTGTTGTGTACGTTTTGATAGTCATTATCGTGTAGTCAACGAGTGAGATAACTTATCATTTATGGATTTTGAAATGCGCCCGCAATACAATTCTGTGATTACTGCGCAGTTTCGTCACGCGGCGTGACTATGCTGTGCGTAACCTAATCTCGCTGTGCGGGAATTTAAATTAAGGAGGCAAACTATGCTAGCACCAGCCAGCGCGATCAGGCACTTAGATAGGGCGTTTGACTTGCCATTTTTGGACTGCGCATCAGATCCACTTTTTGTTAGTATCTTCGGAATATCAACTACAATGCATGCTGTACGTTACAGATAGAGCCAGCTCGACCGAGAAATTATCTCTACTCATAGCATTCATCCAAAGGTACAAAAACGGAAAATGAGCTTCAAAAACCTATCTCCAAGCCTTAATGTGCGGGGTGTCTACTCAGTTGTACGCTTCGGGTTCAGGGGGTTAACCCCAGAACAACTAGAGTGACACCAAATCGAAGACGGTCTGAAATCCGAGTTTAAGCTCCAGTCTGATCCTGAGAGCTAAATTATGAAGCCCCGTGCAGTTAGCATACAAAACCATCAATAAAAGGTTGAAGCGTTAAATACTTGCAGGTAGGTTAAAACTGCTGTTGGTTTTTATTTTTTATTTATTTTTTATTTTTTTGGACCATTTGTCGAATTCGCAATTACTACCACGTTAGACTACTACAGATTTAGCCCCGAACCCAATAACCCCTGCGATATCGCTCCCCATGTAATAGTCAGGATCGCTCATGAGGTATAAGTAAACGTATGCATGGTGACTCTCGTCTCACAACTTGTGTGAGATGTTGTTGGCAAGCGGTATCGATTAGAGGGCTACATCGGATATGTACAAAGGTTTCTTATAGGGTTACCAACAGTGTCAGGCCCACAAAAATGAGTACTTTAAGCTTGAACTCCGCGAGAGTATGCGACGAGGATTCTTCCAGAGGTGCTTCGCCGCTTGTCCCCATCGAGGAGCCACTGACACTGTCAGTAACAAACCCCAGTTCGCGTACAGGTACACTGGAGTTGTCACACGCAAACGTGCCCGTGGATCCGAGTTTGTTAGATGCCTTGGGCATGGAGATCTTGCTACCACCTTCAATCGTATAGTCTCCCGTCGTGACTTCATCCGCGTCAATGCAGATCGCTCCACCATTCTCCACGTCGAGCACGATGTCAGCGGATTTGAACGACGCCGTCAACACCGAGATGCTCGCCGATCCACCCACGTCCACAGTGACGTCCCCGAGCGACACACTCTTGGCATTGATCTGAAGACTCGCGTTTTCCGATACGTCCACGGTGAGGGCATTCGTGCTCAAGGCGGCGTCAGCGGTCGACACATATACAGCAGCTGAGTCACTAATGTCGATCACCAAACCGGCGTCTGAACTGCTGGTGACGAGGACTCCGTCTTCGATGACAACGTTGGCTGATCG